GGGGGGGAGGGGGGCTCGAGAGCCAAGACGGGGATGCCGTGGCGTGCAGCAGCGTCTTCTGGCGGCTCAAGTAGCGAGGCTAGATAGAAGGAGAAGAGGGAGAGAAAGAGAGGGATCGGGGGCCGCTGAAATGTGTAAAGTAGGAGTGAGATGACTGTAAGCGTTAGGGACGATGGTCGTCTGTCGACAGAGAATGCATGCCGAACAGATGGGGCGTCAGGGAGTCGTCCAGATGTGCCGTCCAGCCTGAAAGACGTGGTCGAAGGATGAGGTGGGCTCCAGAGAAACCGGAGAACGACAGGGTGTGTTCCACTGAACAGGCTGATGGAGGTGGTGTGTTTGGTGAGGCCGAGGGGCGTGTGGTTGGCTGCGGTCCCGACGCTGTGGGAAGAGGCAGGCAAGAGGCAGAGGCGAGAGGCAGGTAGGTGGACGGGGGGGATCGAAGGGGGGGGAGGGGATGCGCCTGCCACTTTAGAGGAAACTGGTTGATCTGACAGATCAGATCGGCTCCTGTCCGGCGTCTTTGTTTCTGTCTGTCTGTCTGTCTGTTTTGTCTCCCTGTGCTCCTGCTGGGCATATGCGGCACGGAGGCACAGGCACGAGGCGGCGGCGGCTGGTAGACGTGTGCTGGGGCGGGCGTAGACCTGAATAGTGAACAATGATGAAATGGGTGTGATGCTGGGAGATGGTCACTGGCAGATTGGCACACGTAGGGGGGGGTCTCTCTATGCACCAATCATTTCGAGGAGAAATACAACCAACACGATATGATTGGAAGAAACCATCGACCCACTGGTAACCCTGGCCCGCGCTTGGCCTGAAGAGGGCGCCCTAGTCTCACGCCTCGGGGGGGAGCATCCGCCGCCTTGACGTGACTCGGTTGGATGCGCAACCTCCATCCGCCTCAAAGCGGCATTCGCATTTCATGCAACTGGCTTCGACGCGATGCCACATCTGACCCTGGAAATTTTCGTTTGGGAAACTCCTGACTGTGGTCATGAAAACATGGTGCACGTCTCTGTGGACAATGTCATCTAGCAATCCGAGCAAGCAACCCAGAAGGAAGAGGGATCCTTAAGAGGCCGGCGCTTCGACCCTAAATGGTGGAACAGGTGACCAAGACAGCATTTTCAACATCCGATCCGGCGCAATCATTTACGATCAGCTCACTACTGCGGTGCAAAGTCTGGAGCCCGGCAGAGGGCAAGCCAAGTGGAGTGCTCCCAACCAGACGGGCCCTCCTCGAAGCCTGGAAGGTGGTCGACCCAGATGGTCTTCCGAGTTCCGGTCGATGGTCACATTTGGGGCTGCCTGGCCCAACCCCTCGTTCTGCCTGTCGCTTACCTAGTGCAGTACAAGCACCCCGCAAATAGTTCCAGCTTGTCGAGAAGCGAAGCTCAAAAGAAAAACGAACACAAAACAGCGAGTTGATCGCCGACTGGGGGCTGGTCCATGGACCAGTTTGTTGGTGACGGAAACACCCCAAGTGGGTTGTATGTTATATCAGCCATGAACATGCTCGCCTGTTTCTTTCTCTATTTTTGGTCGATTATTTACTCAACTCGTCTTTCAGCGAACAGAATACATGCTTATGCTATGCTGCCTACGCTGCGTTGGCAGAGGGGCGCTGTCTTTATCCTGCATGTCGGAAGCAGCGCAGGCTTATCCGGCCAGCGGCATGATGCAATGCAACCCCCCTAAGAAAAAACATGGTCGCGCAGCCCCCCCCCCCCTTTCACCCCCCGGATTCTGGTACCCAGGGCTCGAGGAGTTAAGGTGCAATGCCGAGGACCGATCGCAGAAACGAGCGGCCTCGGGTTTCGGTGTATTGCTCATAAATCAGATACAAAAGTACCGTGATCTTTAACATAACATATGTAGCTCTGGTAGAAGATGGCAAATGCGAAACACATCAACCTAGAGAGTTGATTCTATCTATTTGAATGGTCATTATGCAGTGTAGAGGGTATCCATAATGTTTCAAGCTGGTAATGTCTTTGTCACAGCCATCTGAACCGTTGACAGTGAAGCATTCAGCGCATCCCACACAGCGCAACAACTACACAGTTGTCGTCCAAACACAGTCAGACAAGGTTTTTTTCTCCCGTTCGTCTTGCTCTGCAACAGCAAGGCCAGATGTCATTTCAAGCGTCGGGGTCGCTGTCGGCGTCATCAGACAGCTGAACAAAGTTTTTTGTCAAGGTCATCATGTGGTCTCTTGCAAGGCACATGACAATGGCTACCGTGATGGCGTTCCAGACGCCTTGATTCTTCACGTTAAACCCGACTTCCACCTGGTAGCTGACGTGCGCAACATCATCCTCTTTTGCTGAATCTATGGACAGGATCATGACGGTGGCGTTGACGATGAACATGCCGTACAGAACGGGTGGCTGTTGCATGTATGGCGACTCGATGCTGGGTCTCTGCATTTTTGATTCGTCCGTCAGATGGACGATTTCCGTTTCCCCGTCTTCGCGCTTGATGACCAGGGGAGAAGTACTGTCTCGCTCCGATTTTGCGGTGCAATCGTCGTCCGACTCGCTCTTCGCAAGTCCATCTGGTGTTCCGTCGCGCGGCACAGCAGCTTTTCCCGAGCAATTGATCAGCCAATATGCACGATGTCTGGCGGCCAATGTCCTCAGCCGATTCTGCATGCGCTCTTCAATCTTGACACTGCCGACCGTGGTATCCACAATGTCTATGATGACATTGGGAACTATGTCGAGGTTGTCGTAGCTTCCATCCTGGGCAGCCCACCTTGCATACTCTTCGAGCTCTTTGCGTATACAGATAGGTACCTTGTCACGCTGGCCGCTCTGCATCAGTGAACGGACGCTTGATGTCAATTCGATCAGCTGGATCAAAGCCTTGGTAGCTGCGACTGTATGAGCGACCAGAGGATCGACTGACGAAGGGAAGATGCTGACCTACCTTTAAACTCGTTGCTAGACTGAGAACAGATGACGGGCGTCGCGTCATCGTTCTTCGAAAACAACACGCCGGGAATGGGGATGCCCCTGAAATCCATGTCCCATTTTCTCGGTAGCAGAGGGTTGTACTGCCTCATGTACAGTATCTCGAATAGTCGAAGCTCATCATCAGCCCACGCAGCGCTTCCTGGAAAGAATTTCTTCTCATCCGCCATGGCGTCGAAATGCTCCTGTTCTTCCCGCGGGTCTACCTCGTCAGCAAGGTCGCCGCTGAGACCTTGGTGCGAGTCGCCGCGTCTAGGCCGTTTCGTGTGTCCATGTTGCTCACTGTTCCCATGATGTGGTGGCGTGGCCGAGTTTGGTGTCGAAGAAACACTTTTGGAGGCATGGGAGGAGTCACGAGGCCGGATTGATGCTTGGTCTGGCGACAAAGTCTTGCGCTTCTTTCCACGACTCAATGGAAGCGGCGTTGGCAAATCGGCCTCCGCTGGGTGACGGGTTTCGGCCGGCGTAGATGGTGTTGAACCTTGTAGATCCCGACTCGTTGCCATTGTCTCCCCCTCTTGGAAGTTCTCTGCTTCGATAATGAAAGTAAAGAAAAAAGGCCAAGGTTGAGAGAAAGGGGCAGGTGTGAAGCGGTGTAGGAAAGTCTGTCAATTGGTCTCAGACACGGAGCAGCTGCAGATTGGTCATAGGTTGGATTAAACGTAGGAAAAACAGAAACATGGGCGGGAAGGAACGAATTCGCTGGCTTTTTGTAGAACTCATATCCATCATGTCAAATGATTTCCCTTGTTTCTCGTCTTTGGCATTTGACGATCTTTGAGCTGCCTCAAAGAAAAGCGGTCAGTGAGGGAACCTCGCTTGTTACCAACTCAATATGCCGGGGTCTGTCAATGGGACAGTACGGGAGTCGTCACAATGGAATCGAGTCCAGGGGTCCCAGGGCAAGGCCACTAGCACAGTTCAGGAACGCGTCGACGCCACAAACCTCGTTGTGCTTGAGGCTTGGATCGATCCCGATAGGGCCCCATCATCATGACGTGGGGCAGCAAGAGCAAGAGGCTCTTCTGCCCCCCTTGGGTCCACCCCCCCCCCCCCCCCCCCCTTCTCAAGAAAAACCACCCCCTAGAGTGCACCTGCCTGCTGTTCTGCCCTTGCGCTAGCGTGGACAAGGGGGGCAATTTTTTAGTTGGACCTGCCAACATGGAGGCGAGTGACCTCGCGACAGCTAACGCGCGCCCATGTCAAAGCACCAACACCTATCTACCTCGACCTAAGGAGGCGCGCACAACTACCTCCGTCCCAGTCTTGTCGCAACGAGACGGCTAACACTCGGACAACCTGAGCTTAGTCCACTCTCCTTATAACCCAAGGTTCATTGATACTCGGCTGTCAAGTCATCAAACCACAGGGCTCTTCGTTCAACGCGTCGCTTGGGTGCTTTACTTATTGCATCATCAATCAATAGACTTTGAGAAACTCATTCACCATCCCACTCCGACTCCAGCAACAAAATCCAGCCACTTGACGGACCGCTCGAAACCTTCTCGACCTTCCCATGCTTCCAGTCCACTGAACTTTGCGTTTACAATGGCCGATTGGAATAAGTCCAAGGTCGTTGACCTCCGAAACGAGCTCAAGCGCCGCGGCCTTCCGCACGCAGGCCTGAAGCAAGAGCTTGTGCAGCGTCTCGATGAAGACGATGAACAGTCCGCCACATCCGGGGATGCGAAGCGAGACGAACCCTCTGAGACGGGTGCTGTTCTGGTCGCGGATGATCGAGAACCGGCTGCGGCAGACGAAGATTCTACCAGTGCACCTGCCCTAGCAATCGACGCACTCGATACTACTGCTATTGCTGCTACCCAAGATGGAGCGCTCGCGAACTCCGAACCTGCAGAGCCCAAAAACATCCCAACCGAACCTATTGCTGCCGATGACAATGGCTCGAATGACATTGCTACGCCTGCCGCAGCTCCCCAAGAGTCGGAGGTAGTGCAAGACGCGCAAAAGCGCAAACGCCGTTCCACAAGCCCACCTCCCGAGCCCAAGCGTATCAAGGCTACTGCTGCCGAGATTCATGAAGAGAAAGTGATTCTCCCCGTGTCACCAGAAGATACCGAACAAAAAAATAGCCCAACCAGCGGCGTCGAGGAGAATACTTTGCCGGACTCGGGGCAGGTGGCGGAGAGGCTAGACGACCACGAGATGCATGACATCCCAACGAACGAACAGCCTGCAAACAGTCCTGGAACCATCGATGTCGAAAACGAGCAGCAACCTGTTCGACAACCCTCATCAACACCAGAAGCACGAGGTCGACTGGCCATCCCAGAACAGCAAGCCGACTTCCAGCCCAGCCACAACGCACCAAACGACACAATGGACTATGAACGTAACATCGAGCCCGCCGCGCACCCTGCGACCCGAGCCCTGTACATTAAGAATTTCATGAGGCCTCTCCGGGCGCCAGATGTCAAGCAGCACCTCCTTGATTTGGCTTCCTCTCAAGGCAACTCCACAGAGGAGAGTGCTATCGAAATATTCTATCTCGATCAGATCAGGACTCATGCCTTTGCTGTATTTAGCGACACGTCAAAAGCCATGCGTGTGCGTTCCGAGCTTCACAACGTGATCTGGCCAGATGAGAGCAATCGCAAACCCCTCTGGGTGGACTTTGTGCCGCCCGAGAAGGTGCAGGACTGGATCTTGGAAGAAGAACCGGAGACTGGTCGACGCGCTTCTGCGAGCTCAAGGTGGGAGATACGATACGAAAGAGACCATGACGGGAACGTGGTCGCGGTGCTCGATTCCGGCACTGCGCCAACTCCCGCCCTGGCCAACAGCGCACCACCAAACAAAACCTCGCGGCCCATGCCACCCCTCGGCCCCTCTGGGATCTCATTCCCCCCCTCTGGTCCCGGCGGCGGCAACAGCGTCAACGCCATCCCAATTGGTCCTCGTGCTGGTCGCGGCGGGCGCGAACCTCCTCTCGGCCCCCGAGGCCCCTCAGACACGCGTGGCCCTGGCGGCCGAACGGCTGGCTTCGCCAGCGGTCCCCTGCGTACAACGTCCACAAACCCTCCGCTCACGTTCCAGACCGTCTCCGAGGACCTCGCACGCCAGCGCGTTGACTCGATGCGTTCCCACTACACCCGCGACATCCATCGCGACATGGGTGCTGAGGACGAAATCAACCGCTACACATTCGAATCTGGCGATGTCTTTGTAGACCGCGGTAAAGAGGTCTTCATTGGTATCCGCCCCCCGCACAGAGAAGCCGAGCGGCAACGACAGCTTACTGAAGGCGGATCTTACCGCCGCCCTGGACCGGGCCCGCGTGGCCCCCCGCGCCGTGGGCCTCGCGGGCCTGGTGGTCCTGGAGGCAGGCCTCTCAGCGATCGTTATCTTCCTGGCATCAACGAGAGCGGCCCGTTCAGACAAGGTGACCGCGGGAACTTCTCGCGCCGAGAGGACGATCGTTTCGGGGACTCCAGAAGGCCGGGCGGCCGAAGGGATGAGCGCTGGGGCGGCGGCGGCGGCGGCGGCGGCTACAGGGGAAGACCTCGCTACTAGACGGGGCGCTGAACAAGAATCGACACAGGCGCCCTTGATGCGCCAGCCTCCGTGGTTTTCTGATTGGTGCTGGACGACGACCTTGGAGACGCGCTCGAGGCCCGGTAGGAATTAAAGACGGTCTGTGGCACGCAAAGGGCAGTCAGTCGGATTTCCGGAGGGATGCCATGGAGGACTTGCCTGCTGGAGCCGAGGCAATGGTCATCTGCGTCGGGGTACACACCCGCTGGTGGTGATGAGCATGGACGGGTATGGGTGACTGGTACATGATGTATGATTACTGTATGGTCTCGGGACAGAAACTAGTGTCGCAACAGTCGCAGAAATGAAACGTTGGCTTAGTTGCACATGGCCTGGCTGTCCGTGAGATGCGCGCAAAATGAGAGCCCGTGACATAAGGCCTCTGTCGCAAGAACTCCACGACGACTGCATCCTTACCTGTAGAGGACCGAGTAGGAAGAGTGCTACATGCTAACTTTCTCCAGTCAAATTGGCGATCACTGTATTCAAGTTGTGTAGTACGCCAAGCTACTGGTCACACTTGTATGAAATGAGTAGGCAAGTCGCTCACTATGTAGTTTTACTGGTGTCGAACACCATGTCTCAATGTCATCCTTTTGCAACTCGACCAACGTGTCACACGGGAACATTGTGGCAGGCACTTTGAAGTATTCAGATTTGATCATTGATATAAAAACAACTCCGCTTATCCCAACACGGCAACTCCCAGCAAGACGTTTTCCAATCTCACGTCCGAGAGGGCCATTCCGGTTCCGACGTCAAAAAGGAAAGGAGGGGCACACAGGCTTGCGCCACTTAGGCAGCGCTGGCCAGCGAGACGGGCTCGACGCCGACGCGCTCACGGCTGAGAATGTCGAGCATGAGCTGGGTCGGACGGTTGTCGCGGTAGACCTTCTGGTTGTCCTTGAAGAGCTGCACGCTCTGGAGGTACTTGTCGAAGAGGTAGGAGCTGTCCATGGGGCCGCCCTTGGCCTCAGGGTGGAACTGGGTGGAGAAGATGGGGCGGGTCTTGTGCATCATGCCCTCGTTGCTGCCGTCGTTGAGGTTGACAAAGTACTCCTTGAAGTCGCTGGGCAGGGTGCTCGAGTCGACGGCGTAGCCGTGGTTCTGGCTGGTGATGTGGCACTGACCGGTGGTCAAGTCGAGGGCGGGAATGTTGTGGGCGCGGTTGCCGTACTTCAGCTTGATGGTGCGGGCGCCGGTGGCCAGAGCCAGAAGCTGGTGGCCAAGGCAGATGCCCATGATGGGGACGGACGAGGTCTCCATGAGGCGGCCAAGGTTGTAGATGGTCTCCTGGCAATGGGTGGGGTCACCGGGGCCGTTGGAGATGAAGACACCGTCAAAGTGAGAGGCGACCTTGTGGATGGGGTAGTTGTAGGGGAAGACAGTGACAGAGGCACCGCGGCTGACAAGGCTGCGCATGATGTTTTCCTTGACACCACAGTCGATGAGGGCGACGTGGAGGTTGGCGCCGGGCGACTCGACAACAAACGGCGCCTTGGTGCTCACGCGCTTGACAAGGTTGATCTGGCCGGGGTCGATGAAGCTCTCATCCTCGTCGGCGTCATACTCGTCACCGATGGAGATCCTAGCAAGGGACGAACCCTGCTCTCGGAGGTGGGTGACAATTTCACGGGTGTCGACGCCAGAGATGGCAGGTACACCCTCGCGAGCGCACCACTCGCCGAGGCTCTCGACGGCGGTCCAGTGGCTGTACTTCTCGGCGACATCAGCGACGACGACGCCGGCACACTGAATGTGAGGCGATTCGAAGTACTTCAGGAGCTTCCACTGGTCGAGCTCGTTGGAGGGAACACCATAGTTGCCAATGAGGGGCTGGGTGAAGACGAGAATCTGACCACGGTAGGAGGGGTCGGTCATGGACTCGGGGTAGCCAACGAGAGAGGTGGTGAAGACGGCTTCGCCGGAGATGTTGGAGTTGGCACCAAAGGCACGGCCGGAAAAGACGGGACCGTTCTAAGACGAATTAGCGAGGGTTCAGCATCTTGTAGTTCGAGAGCCACGAGGACAACATACACGAATGGTAAAGGTGGCGTCGAGGTTCTTCGCGGGAGCGGTGCCACGGGGCTGGTTGTTGGGCATGGCCCTGCCGGAAGCGAACCGGAGCTGGGTTCCGACGCGGGCGCTCAAACCGGCAGCACCACGGGCGGCGGGTTTGGCGAGGTTGATGGTCAATTGGGGAAACATGATGTTTGGTTCGAAGGAGTGTCGAAGTGAGGGATGAAGCTGGTTGATCAAGAACACTTTCTAGGGGCTGGCAGCCTTCCACAAGTGGTCTGTGTTGCTCATGGGTTAGCTCGGACATGACACGATAGTGGCTCCCCTTTGGGGGGGCGGTGAGTCAATTGAGGGTGCGGTGAGGCGTACCAGAGAGATAGTCCTATTGATAAGAATTAGCCAGCTGAAAAGCAGATGAATTGACCAAATGCAGACAGATGAGAGGCGGACGCAGCATGGAGACTGAGGATTCGGGCTCAATGGATGCTTGATGGAAGAGGGCACCGGGCAGCGGGGTAGGCGGGAAGACATGGAACATGCCATGACCTCACATGGACAACAGCAGCGGGAACATACCTGCGAGGTGAAGATGGACGGGCGCCCGTGCATAAGGGCAACTGGACCGGAATTCGATCAAAGCTGGGCTGTGGAAAAAGGTAGACGGCGGGAGTGGCGGGTGTCGGGGGAGACGAGAATGGAGAGTTTGAGGTTTCTGATGTGTCGGTCGGGAGGACGATGCAGGATGGATGCGGGAGAAGGAGAGCGAGAGTGGGAAGAGTCACAGGCAGGCACAGCCAGCGAGGGCCTGCTTAAGAAAAAAAAGCTTATCATTGGACCCTCCAGGCCAGATACCGTTGAGTCGGGCTCTGACACACGCGGGGCCCTTTCTGATTGGCTGCTCGTCACCGTATGACCGCCGATATCGCGGCAGCGCAGCCAATGCACCCAATTCAGCGAATCCGGCTTTGCCGCTATCTCTTTGCTCGCCTCTCCAATGCTTGGCAGCCAGCAGCGGGAACCTGCTCTCTCCTGCCAGACCTCTTTTGGTGGTGATCCATCCTGCATCAGGCACCAGGTACGGCGCGGATCGTCAGGAAGACATGGGAACTCGTCTGTTGAACCCTGAAGTGGCGTTGGAGGGAGCATGCTCCGCCCCGCCAGCAGCTGATAGCCGCGGAGTCATCATGTCGGTGTTGTTGTTAGCCCTTAACACTGTAACAAGCAGCTAGCAGTCTTCAAGGTGTAGGAAGCACAATCATCTGCGCCCAATTCGTAGTCATGACACTTTCATACCCCATTAAACCTGCTCCCCGGCTCACGAACACAGTGAACACATGCACCGGAATCAACACGCGTCCCTGCTTTGCACGGATCCTAGTTCAACTAGCTCATCATGTACACCCGTCATAAGCCAAAGGTACTGGTACACGCCATTGTATTTTAAATAGCACCGAGCTCCTTGAGCTTCGCGACGAGCCCGTCCACATCCTCCACCTTGCCGCCACCTTGCCTCGGCGCGGGCTCTGTAGAAGGAAAAAATTATATCAGCATTCGTTATCCATAACAAGAATATCAATGGTACATCAATGATGTATTGATGACACCCAAGGGGGGAAGGGGGGGGGGGGGGGGGGGGGCGGCACCAGTGACCTTGAGAACCTTCAGCCTCGCCTCGGTCGTCAGGCCATAGTCGGCCAGCTTCTTCTTCTCCAACGGCTTCTTCTTCGCCTTCATAATGTTCGGCAGGCTGGCGTACCGCGGCTCGTTCAGCCGCAGATCCGTCGTGATGACCATGGGCAGCTTGCCCTTGAGCGTCTCGACGCCACCGTCGACTTCGCGCGTGACGCTGACCGTGTCGCCCTCGCCAAACTCGACCTTGCTCGCCTGCGTCGCCTGCGACCAGCCGAGGAGGCCCGCGAGCATTTGACCCGTCTGCCCGGCGTCGTCGTCGATGCTCTGCTTGCCCAGGATGACGAGGTTCGACTTGTGCTCCTCCGCCGCCTTGCGCAGCAACTTGGCCACCGACAGCGGCTCCAGGTCCTCGCCCTCCTTCGTCTCGACGTGGATGCCGCGGTCCGCGCCCATGGCCATGGCCGTGCGGAGCACGTCGACCGCCTTCGGGGGGCCCGCCGAAATGACGGTAATGTCTTCGACGCCGCCGGGCGCGCGCTTCTTATCGCGGATGCGGACCGACTCCTCGACCGACAGCTCGTCGAAAGGGTTCATCGAATGCTTGACGCCAGCCGTCTCGACGGCCGTCTGGGCCTTGTTGACGCGCGGCTTGACCTGAGGATTTCGGTCTCCCATCAGCAAACGTTTCCTTCCCCCCTCCAATGGAATAGAGTGAGGGCACGTGAAATGAACTTACCGCATAGTCAATGACCCGCTTTACGGGAACGAGAATCCTCAATGCAGACATTTCTGTTTTCTTCGTTTCTGCTTTACTCTGCTGTGTGATGCTTCACTTCTCCAGGTCCGAGGGTGCGCGAGGTAGAGAAGTCGGAGGTGGACTTGGGGCCTGTCGAACAATCGGCGTCATTGGCAAAAGACCCGTGGAGTCCAGGTGCGAGACCGGCTAGTACCGGCCTCCCAACCTCGGGATCTCGGAGCACGTGACCCGCACGTTGGCCCCTCAGTTCCTGGCATATAGCCGACGGGGTGCAGGAACTGGCTGTACGGCACGCAAATGGTCATATCTCCAAGGCTAGGTAGCAAGACGTCCAAAGCATTTGCATCACTTTCATGTTGAAACGCCTTCTTCGTGTACAGTTGTGTATTGCTAAACGCTCAGTTGCCAGGCTTCCACCGCTCACCAGTCGTCCCACTCATCCTTCTTCTTCGCCGGCGGCGCTGCACCGCCAGAGCCTCCGCCTTTCATGGCCGAAGTGCCAATGGCGCCTGTGCCTGTAGATCGTTGCTGCTTGTGCTGGTTGCTTTGGTCCGCCAGGCTTGAGAAGTCGTCCCAGAAGTCCCTCTTGCTGTCGTCCATCGGCGCCTGTTTGTAACCGCCGTTGCCCTCGCGGCCGCCCTCGACGAACTTGTTAAAGCCTTCGTTGGCGTTGCGGGCGCCTTGCTGCGCCGCGCGTCCAACCTGGCCGGCTGCTAGCTGAGCTTGTCTTGCAAAGTCGGACTCGGCGAGCTGAGGGGAAATGCACGAGTCAGCTTGTCCGTCGCAGAAGGTGCTCGCGATGGGGTGGGGGGTTTCTTACCTGTTTTGCTGTCGGCTGAATGTAGCCATCGTTGACCGTCTTGGCCGTCTTGGTGACAGTAGAAGTGAACCAGCCGAACCCCTTGGACAGGGCGGCTATGGGATCCTTCTGCAGCTCATCAATGGTCGGCGCAGCGCTGTCGTCGCGCGCCGACGGCGTAGGCGTGCTACCAAAGCCAGCGTACTTCCCGCCCTGGCTGGGAGGTAGCGCCTCCGACCTCGACGCATTCTCGGCGCCCAGCTTGGAGAAGTACTTATCGTCCACCTTGACCTTGCCGCCGGGGCTTGGGGCGCGGTTGCTGGCGCTGCCGCTGAGCGGCGTGCCCGTGCGACTCGGGTCCCTCGCCGGCGCTGGCGCTGGCGTAGGTTTCTTCTCGCCGGGGACGTACTCCTTGCCCTCTGCCTTGGCCGACAGCCTCTCCTTCCACTCCTCACCGACCTCGCCGCTGTATCGTTCTGCAATGGTGGCATCGTCCCAGGTGACGCCCCGCATCTTCGTGTCCTCGTGCTGCTCGAAGAAGGTCTTCCAGTTCTCATTGCCGCCAAGGCGCATCCTCTCAATCTCAATTTGCTTAAAGGCGTCCATGGAAATACTGCGAACGAACGAAATGTGCACACCCAACCCTCGGTGGACGCCTGCGCACGAGAGGCAGATGAAGACGCCGAATTTCGGGGATGCCCATTGCGGCGAAGGCGCGTTGCAGTCGCAGCAGAGGTTGTTCTTGGATTCTTTCTGAATAGCGGCTAACTGAAGAGATACCAGAGCGGTGAGCCGACTGCATCGACTTTTGAAGCTAGGAATGACGTCGCGGGGTCGCGACAGAGCAACTAACGTACCTTGGCCCTAGTTTCGGGATCGACCTCCCACATGGCTTTGGAGGCCATGGTGAGTTTTGCTGTTGGTCAAATATGGGACGCGATTATGGTAATGTACACCTCGAAACGCGGACGACCATGGGCAGACACGCGACAGACAGCTGGTCCGACGTCGAGGAGCGTGTATGTGATAAGGGGTGTGTAGGAGAGGTGCGACAATTGGGGGTGGCACGCCAGATCACCTATTGGCTCTGGCGGCCAGAGCCTGGGCCTTCGCAGTCAGTTAGACCAGGACCAACCAAGCTTGGTACCCAGGCTTGCTAGGCCGCCGGCCGGTAGACACCCCACCAAAGTCTTTCGGAATGTCACCTCGCCTTGCAACGAAATTACGAATACTCTGCCTTGTTGCTGAGCCACTTGGGAGTACGGCCACAATAGCACAGCTGGGCCTAGGCTGCGCTTCTTCCTCGAGGTCTTGTTCAGCGTGCCTCAATACCAGTTCTGCGTTGACTCGAGTCCTTCCATCAAGCCCTCAGGATAAGCTTTGTGGGCGCTGCAAGATAGTCACAATAGTCATCAGGACACCATGGTCTGGCTACGTTTTGGCACTAGTTCCAGTACCAGGCTCGCAATGTTGCACAATCATGGTTAATCAACGGAGCACATACAACGACAGAGATGATCGATCATTGTCTGGTGAATTGATTTGCGCCAAGCTTTTCCTCGTCCTGCCAACCCGCCAGCCAGAAGCAAGAGCTAATGTACAAACCCCCACTGAGAGCGGAGGGAGACGGAAAGGAGGTGACAAAAATACAAGGGGTGTAATGTGGGAGGTCGTGATAAGTATTACGGTGAAAGTGAAACAGATAGCAACGCTGCGAAGCTTCCTTTTTCCATGTCCTATTTTTATGTAGGGCCAGAGGCAAGCCACGAAAGATATCTGTCCTAGGAGATAAAATAGCCGCCTCCTGTGCGTGCCCGTGTTCCAGTAAGGCCCACTTTCAAAAAGAGAAATCGTCAAACCGATATCATATCATAAAGAGTTCGTCAGAACCGAAATTCCGAAGGCTCTCCGGTTTTCTCGGGCCAGGCGGTATCGGTAAAGTTCTGCTTAAGCAGTGGTAGTAGCGCCGGCAGCAGTGGCGGGGACTGCAGGGGCGGCATCGGTCGCCGTGACGGCGGTGGTAGCGGGAGCCTCGGTGGGGGCCGCAGCGGGGGCGCCCTCCTCAGCACCGTTGGCCTTCTCCTCGGGAGAGTTGGCCTCCTCATCAGTCTTGTCAGGGCTGTCGATGGCAACCTTGACGGCGATCTCACGGCCCTCAATCTCCTTGCCGTTCATCTCGCTGACGGCCTTCTGCTGGAGCTCCTCGGAGGCGAGGGTAACGAAGCCGAAGCCACGGCCCTTGCGGGGCTCACCGCGGGCCTGGAGCTTCTTGATCATGAAGCGGGGGATGGGGCGAAGGGCGATCTTGGCGGAAGAGGGCGAGTAGGCCTCAAAAAGCTCCTTAAGCTACGTCCCAGCACGTTAGTTGTGGCTCTCAACATGATCGTCAAAAAAAGGAAATAGCATACCTTCTCTTCGGTCAGGTCGTAAGGCAGGTTGGCGACCATGACCTTAGTCTTGGAGGCAACGCCGTCGGCGGGAGGGCCACGCTCCCGGCGCTCACGAGGAGGGCGGGACTCCTTGTTCTTGGCCGAGTCGGCGGCGACGTCCTTGTTGGTAACGTCGCCAAGGGGTTGAGCCTCAGCAGGGGCAGGAGCGGCAGCCTCAGCAGGGGCGGCAGCGGCCTCGGCACCCTCCTCCTGGTTACCATCCTAGACTTGATGTTAGCTCATAGTACTCGCTAAGTCAAGACTCTGGTACTTACGCGACCGTTGCGGGCACCACGACCACCACGGCCGCGGCCACGGCCGCGGCCAGAGGGGCGGCGGCGGTTGCCCTCGCCGGCACCCTCACCGTTGGCGGCGTCAGCCTTCTCGCCGGCAGGCTCGGGCTTGCGAGCGAGCTGGACGGAAACCTTGCGCTCCAGGATCTCCTTGCCGGACAGCTCAGAGATGGCGCGCTCGGCCTCAGTAGGGGTAGAGAGGTCGACGAAGGCGTAGCCAACGGGACGGTCGGTGCGGGGGTTCTTGGGAATGGAGACGGACTCGCTATAGACAGAGGCAGGTCAGCAAGCGGTTTAGAAGATGGCGGTAGTATTTAAACGTGATTTGGGGTGATGTTGTGGGCGATGTGTCATCCGGCAGCGATGAGCCAACGGAAGGAACATCGCCACCGATGCTTTGGACAGCGTCCTCAGCAATGGTGGTGATTTGATCGTGATGGTTCGGGAACACCCTAGCCATCATAACGACGAGGTTGCGAGTTCATCGAGGTCAAGACTGACAGAACAGGAAGGGATGCCCGCTTATGAGGACAGGTATTGCCACATTCAGACGATGGTGCGGGAAGGAGAGTGATGATGATCATGATGAAAGAGAAGATGGAAAACTCACACAAGGTAACCCTTGAAGAACTCCTTCAGTTCCCCCTCGGTCGTCGCATAGGCCAGGTTGCCGATGTAGAGACGGCGTCCCTCAGCAGCGCTGGCGAGGACGGCGTCATTGTTGGCGGCGGCAGGCTTGTTGTCGGTGACCTTCTCGGCGATCGAGGTATTGCTCAGAGCATTGGTAACGTCCTGGACGGCGTCGGTGACCTTCTCCACAACGGCAGACATGTTGGATGATGGGATGTGTGTTGTGTGGTTGGAATATGGAGATGGGTGTTGGTGTTGAGATGACGTGCGACGAGGTTGTGTCGAACTTGGAGGACCTGAGTTTAGAAAGAAGGTCCGAGGTTGGAAGATGGATCGAAGTTCGGGATGAGTTGAACTCTGAGACAATGGAGGGGGATGGTTAGGGTAGCTTGGTGCCCTAGATGCTTGAAGAGGGGAAGACAGACGACTTGCGTTGCGCGGTGACACAGTTTCTTGATGTTTTGTGATGGGGAGAAGAGGGAAGAAAGGAGAGGTCTGGAGTTGCCTGGAGGTAAGTACAAATATTTTTTCCCCTTGAGTGCAGGGGGTGGTGACCAGGGGGGCAAATGGGAGGGGGTCCAGCACCAGACAGGTCGTAGGACACCTCCTGTGGAAGGAGTGGAGGAGCAACGGCACGAAGAATGGGAGGCGCCTGCTCGTGTCTGTGAGCCCTGCCACGTACTTGGCAGGTACCTTAGTCTTCCGTAGGTACTCAGGGGAGCTTATAGGGGGGGGGGCTTCTGTTGTGTGACGAGCAGGGGCTTGAAGGGTGTCAAATACTCGAACATGGGCCAGGCACGTTTTGCGGAACTGTCGCTCCAGGCACATGGCAAGACAGGTTTGTGTTCCATTCCTTTTCTTAGAAATGCACCGATCATGATGCATTTTTCCTCTCTCCAAGCAGTGTCGAACACTCTCGACATGGGCATAACCAGCCTGTGCATAAAGCCCTGTGAGGCCCAGTGAACTCCCAAGGCACGGCAACTTCGCTACTAGGGTGTCTGACTTGATCGCGTGCGTCGGCTTCTGTGAGTACAGGGAGAAAACATTCCTTCATGCACTGTACATCATAAAAAATCGCCCAAATTGGTACTTACGGCAGGTGCCACTCGATCTTGTTCCCAGTCGTGACTACGGCAATCAGGAGCAAGGAAGTACTTGCCCATTTTACCGTTTGACGTTGAGGTTTGGTGTCGTGGGAGGCGGTCCAATATGCATGCCGCCACATATTCTGTGTTGACCTGTCACATGTGGAGTTCTAAACCTCGCTGCCAGCGAGCTCTTGCCACGTCCGTAGTAGCTAGCCCCAAGCTCACGGCAACTGCCCGTCTAGTGGGTGTGTGGGTGCCAATGGCCCCAGCTTCTCCATCACCCCATGTAGGTAGTGACTGCCCAGTGGCTGTCTAGTGGGTACAATGCTCCCCCAAACACGCTGGAGCAGCCAGGAGCTCCCATGCAACCCTTTTCGTGTCTGGCCTACCAAGCAAGCACCACTGTGCTGTATCTACCGTACCTCCTTGTGACAGTTAGGGGGGAGGAACCTTGGCTGAGAAAGAGGCTTCTGGAAGCAGCCCCAGTCAGCAACTCCCGAGCGAGGAAACAGGAGTGAACCCCCTCTTCTTTGCGGAAATCCTGTTGATATCGAGCAATCAAAAATTCAAAATGTCCTTGAAGGCATGCATTGAAGCAAACAACCACTGCTGACATCTTCATCACGCATCTGATTATCACTTCATCATCAGGTAGGCAGGCGACGTTCATGCTAGGGTCACTTGCCAGGAGGGTATGATACTTCCACCGTCGATCGCCTCACTCTCAGGTAGACCCCTGGGTTACATTCACCATCACAGACCATCAATAGCGAACAGCATACCAAAATAATGCGGTTACGGGCTCTCAATCCTCCAAGCGAATTGCACAATTCCCATGAGATTGCCTTCGGACCTGGACAATCTCCCTGGTCCACCCCCTTTCGCTCTCGGGCGTTGCGTCAGTGACAAAGACCCCTGGCGAGGCGCAAAGCCTCGCCCTTGTCAGCCCCTGGACGGGGTTGCTCAATCTTTTGATTCTCAGCACTCTTCCCCCTGTTTATCGGCGACTGGCATCGATCACGTTCTGCTGGGGGTTACGAAAACGTACAGTGGTTTTGTCATGCTGTTTTTTTTTCATGCTATCAGCCCTTCGCGTGATGTATAACAGGTCCTTCTTGTTTCGGCAAAGAGAGGCTTCTGAAAGCTACATCACGACAAGGCGATGGTCAATTAGCCATATAGCATGGCTAAACCTGGCGCGAGTTTCCTGGAGTCTGCATGCTATGGCGCCGCTTCTCCGGGCCTCTGGGTCCCCGTTGCGCTGAATTTCCAGGGTAGCAACCCCCTTCAGGCCTAGACGCTGTTAATCTCACTACTTAGCACCACAAAGTCCGATTAGCGATCTCGCCCGACATGAGCCCTGTCGCTCCGTGGCAGCCAAATCCGCCCCGTGGCTTCGCACAACCCGCATACCGAGTTTGGCAGCCGCAAACTCCGATGCCGCCGATTGTTAGTCACACTGTTGGAAATCCAACGACGCATCGCAACTGAATATCTCGCGCTCAATTCATCTGCCTCTTGCAACTTCGCTCCTCTCACAATTTGCCTCAATCCGAGCTTTGCGCATCGCCTAGGTCAAGATGGCCGTTATGGAGAGAGACCAGCCAGTTGAACTGGCTGACCTTCCCGGGAGATCTGCCCTGGTATTGTACGGGTCAGAGACGGGCAACAGTCAAGACATTGCAGAAGAGCTTGGCAAGATGACACAGCGATTGCATTTCAAGACTAAAGTTGATGAACTAAATGTGGTCCAGCTTGTGAGTCTTTTAGACCCTTGTGCCATTGCCAACGTGTTATGAAAAAGACGTTAACCTCGACATCCGTAGAACGAGCTGCTTCGTTATACGCTGGTCATCATAGTCATATCTACGACTGGCCAAGGGGACATGCCACAGAATTGTCTCGCGTTCTGGAAGAGTCTTCTGAGAAGAAAGCTGCCACCGGATTGCCTTAAAAGCGCCAGATTCACCACATTTGGTCTCGGGGATAGCTCTTATCCGAAGTAGTTTCCCCAGCTCCCACTGTCTACTCAACAAATGACTGATGGTATCACAGGTTCAACTGGGCTGCTCGAAAACTACACAAGCGTCTTGAACAGCTGGGTGCCACTGAGTTTTATCCTCGAGGCGAGGGTAACGAACAAGACGATGACGGGTAGGTGCTGCGAACAGACTTCTCAGGCCATAGAGTCTATCTAACGCTGCCCGCAGCATCGACCAGACCTATCTGCCCTGGTCGATCGACTTGCGCACCAAAATACTCGAATACCACCCCCTCCCCTCAGGGCTGAGTCCCATTCCAGATACAGCCCTCCTTCCTCCAAAATACATCATCAAGATCAGCCCTGTAGACACGCTGCGCAACTCCCAAGACACAGCCGCTGAAGGAATTCCTAGATTACAGTCACTTGATAACGTTAATGGGTCATCAGCGGCTGCCACTCCATTGGATGCGGGTGCTGAACAGCTGAACCAACAAGCATTGCAGAATCTTATTCCCACAGTGCCTGGCGGTCTCGTCGTCGAAGTCAACTCAAACACCCGGGTCACGCCAACTGAGCACTGGCAAGATGTCCGAAGACTTTCTTTCGGGATTCGTCATCTACAACCACCGGCACTTCAATTTAATCCTGGCGACTGCCTTAGGCTCTACCCCAGAAATCTACCTCAGGATGTCGAGAAGCTCTTGCACGTGATGCAATGGGGGGCTATTGCGGACAATATTGTGGACTTGGGGACGCTCAATGAACGCCCGACCGGTCTTTATACGGCCAACATCACGACACTACGGCGTCTGCTCACCGAGAACCTGGACATAACCGCAATTCCTCGGCGCAGTTTTCTTGAGGCTATCTCTCACCATTGTACGGATTCAGATCACAAGGAACGGCTCCTGGAATTCACAAAGTCGGAATACATCGACGAGTATTACGACTACGCTACTCGGCCGCGACGCACTATCATCGAGGTTCTCGAGGAGTTCCACTCGGTTCAGTTTCCTCCGGAGTATGTACTTGATGTCTTCCCCATAATCCGCGGCCGTGACTTCAGCATTGCCAGCATCGAGCCGTTAGAACCCGGAAGCGACTCTCCCTACAAGCTCGAGCTCCTCGTCGCCTTGGTGAAGTATCAGACAGTCCTTCGAAAGATCCGCACCGGTCTATGCTCGCGCTACATCAACCTACTCGCTGCAGGAAATGCAGTACTAGCCAGCCACAAGCCATCCCTGACGAGTCTGCATGGCAAATTGCATGCGCGTCGGCCACTCTGCGCCTTCGCAACCGGTACAGGCATTGCACCCATCCATGCCCTCATCCAGGAACGGCTCCGCTACGATGACACCGATTCGCCCACCGGCAGGGCCTTGCTCTTCTTTGGAAACCGCTCCCGCAACAAGGACTTCTTCTTCGCAGATGAATGGGCCGCGATGCCATCTTCCAAGCTCGAGGTCCATACGGCGTTCTCGCGAGACCAAAAGGAGAAGATATATATACAAGATGTCATCCGGCAGCAGGCGCAGGCCGTCGCAGACATGGCCCGGGAGAATGTCATCTTTATCGTCTGCGGCGGCAGTAGTAAGATGGCCACGGCGTGTCGGGCCGCGGTTGTGGAGTGCCTGCGCGTCGGTGGCCTCTGCGAGACCGAGACAGAGGCGGAGGAGATACTGGGGAGGTTAACCTGGTGGCAGGAGATCTGGTGAGCTTGTATTTTGTTTGGCTCAACCTCCTCCTTTACCTCCATGGTACATCTTGACGGGGGGTTCGTCTCACCGCAGCGACGGTAAATAATGGCCAATTTCACGATTTGTCATTGCTGTTACATCGCTATTCCATTCGTATGTAAAGCTCCGAGCACTTGACTGGTCAAGCAAGGCATGTTGTTCATCAAACTCTTGATGGCACTATTTGACTTGTTCTTCCAAATATCTGGCTAACAGGCGACAATGCCGCATGTGGTTTTTCCTTGAGAAAATTCTTGTTTGTCCGAGCGACTAGATTGCTGCATAAACTCCAAGACCGATGCCCCCCGCCCCGTGACACGGTTCAATACCCAAAACGCCCGATCCATGTATGATTCTATGATTCCCGTGTACCATGCGACCTCTCCTCCTCCCAGCTATATCGCCTTTCCGCCATTTGCGGAACATGCACCATCTCCAAATCGGCGTCGATACGTTGATGCTCCGGCAGCGTTCCCGAGCCGCCACGGTTCGCCTGCTGCTGCTGCTCGCAGCTCTCACTGCGGTTGCTGCTCACCGCCGTGTTGCCCGGCGACCAGTTGCTGCCCGGCGTAGAAGACCTCGGCACGTCGAGGCCGCGAAGGCGCGGGTCGGGACTGTAGCCTGGCAAGGTGACGTTGCCCGGCAGAGGGCCGAGGCAGACGACCTTGGAGGGGTCGATCGGAGCTCTCTGGAAGCCGAAGGACGGGGGCGGCGGAGCCAGGCCCGGCTGCGGCGAACGAGCCTCCGCTGGGGACGAATCGGCGCGGATGAGTGCTGGGCGGTCAAAGCCCTGGCTGGTCGGCGAGACGGGGTTGGTTGTGCTGCTGCGGCACGTGTGGCACGTGTTGTTGTCGCCCTGCGAGGAGAGGGCGGGTGTTGAGGATGCCATTGGCGAGGGCAGGCTCGGTGTGCCGTTGCTCCAGGGACCGCGATTGCTCAGGGGAGAGGGCAGGCTTCCGGGCAACGTGTTGCTGTTGCTGTCTGTCGGTGACGAGACGGGCGATCGTTCTGTCGTCGTCACGTAGGTTAGGGGAATGTTCAGTTCCGGCTTCTCAGGCGTGGGTTCCGCGCCATTCACGGGGGGGCTGTATGCAGGTACGGGGCCTTGCAGCTGCAGATCCATCTTCTTCCGCGCTGCTTCGTAGGCCGTCATCTGCTGCGACCCATTCGTTCCGTACTCGGTGTCCCCGTTCAGGGAATGATCATCCTCTGCGGCGTCCAGTTCCATGGGACCCAGAGGCGCAGGCATCTCATAGACGGCGTGGTGGGCGTCGGCGCCAACCTCGGTTGGCTGCGTGGTGTTGCCCGACACCTCGTGCGTCACGGGCTGGTGCGGCGGCCGGCCACGCCCAAAAATCCGCGAGAAGATACGCGCCACAGGTGTACTGGGCTCATCTGTGCCCACGGACGAGCTGGCGTCCTTCTCACTGCTGGCAGTTGCGGCGTTCATTCTCCTGCGCCGTCTGCAGCACCACCACACTGCAAGCACAGCAACAAGGCATGCACCAATCACGCCGACCACGATGCCGACAATCTGTGCCGTCGTCAGGCCCTTGCGCGAGCTCGGCTGTGGTGCCGGCGGCGGATAAGGGCTGTTCTCTGGCTGATTGATCTGGGCAATCTTGGCGTCGGCAATGGGATCCTCTGGGAACTTAGCCTGATAGATAGAAAAGACGTCACTGTCATATCTGGTGACCATGTAGGCCTCTTGCATGAAGGCACGACCGATGATGAATGTGTCAGTGGTGTTGTCCGTTCTCCGTAGGGGAAAGTAGGGTATTGATGGGTCGCCGTAGTTGATTTTGTCCATGAACGGGTAACGAAGGACTTGTGCAAAGGCGGCGGCTGTGATGGTGATGTTGACAACTCCTGGGGTGTCGAGCGGATGGCCAAAGTCGTCGGTGTTATCGAAACTAGAGAGGGAAAAGGTGAAGGAGTAGGCCCAGCCAGACGAGAACGTGTTGAATTGGTCGTCGGTAAAGGTGTAAAGCTCGAGGGTGTCGTTGTATGTCAGATTGAACGCATCTGCGAATTCGTCGCAGACCTGAGCAGGGAGCCACAGGAATGGCGTAGAACTGTCGATCAAGGCAGTGAAGGATGTTGACATGTTGGACAGAATCCGGGGCCCCGATCCCTCCCAGTTGCCTGGTCTTGTATCGTCTTCAGGCACAGTGACTGATATGCCACGTACCAACGTGACAGGCGTGGTGCCACTCTGGCCCAGGACAAACTCCGTGTTGTGAGTGGTAAAGCGGCTCTCGTCATAACCTCCGACTGTCAGAGAACACGGCACGCCGCTGCTCCCCACTGCGAAAATGTCAGCTTCAGCTCGCATGCATCCCGCCGGCCCGTTTTCAGCTTACTGTAAGATGCGCCAGCTGTGTAGCCGTAGCTGTAGCTGGGGACCAGTCCGTACTCCTTGACTGCCTGGGTTAAGGGTGACTCGGCAACCTGGTCACCGAATCTGCCTTGATTGATGCCTAGGCCAATGTAGCCGGTGTAATAGTCGGTCGTGTTGATGGCGGCAACAATTGTGCGGTCCATGAGCATTCTGTCTCCGTTCAATGTCTTGCCGACGACAGTGTCCAAGCCATAGTCACCATTGCCTTCATTTTGCAGGTAGTCCAGCCCCAGCTGCCAACCACCGAGGGCATCCCACGACGACGAACCAGCCGGGTCAAAGACGTTTCCTCTGGCATTTGCGCAAAGAGGCTCCCCTGATCAGGCGTCAGTTCACACACATGACTGTCGATGAGACGGTGACGAGAGGAGGGGATTTCATTACGGTTATAGCAGCCACCTGACTGGACAACCCAAAACTCAGACAGTGAGGTGCTCACCAGTACGTTGACTGATTCTCCAGGGTTTCCGACTTGGAAGCTCAACGTGGACCAGTTGCCATCGATGCCATACCTGAAGCCCGAGGTTAGCGGCGCCAATAGCTGATGTGTCGGGTCGATTGTACTGACCACTCGGACGATGGTGTCAACGCGAGGGCGGAGGGACCTGCAGCTGACGTCGCTATGGCATGTAGGACAACGAGGACGGGAACGTGATATCGCAACATCCTGTCGGGGGCCGTCCGGCGCGACTTTGGGGATGGCAAGGGTCAATTGGTAGCCGCTCTGTTCGACGCATGAGGCTCTCGGTGTGAGTTGCTGTCAGACTCGGGGCTTTTGCGATGTCCTCTTCTTGAGCTACTGAGAAGCCTTCATCTCAAGTATGATACCGGCGGCTACGACCATGATCCCTTGCGCAGGAGATATCGGAATGGCGTAGTCTGACGGGGGGGTGGTTTCGATGGGACACAGATTAGGGGAATTGGGTTAAGAGAAGAGGGAAGCTTCAGGTAAGGACCTGTACAGTGGAAGACAGGGTAACGTAATCGGAGCGATCCAAGGGGAATCGAGTCACCAGACTGCCCAGTCCAAGGCGCGCTCTAGGGGCAGTGGTAAGAGCTTAGCTTAGGTCCAGCACCTGGGTCGGTAGAATGCGGCGTCCCCCAAGGCAAGACAAGCTAACCTGCCAGGCTACAGGGCCACCTTGGCAAGACAGATAGAGGCTAGCCCGTTGACCTTCAATCAGCTGGGATCGCCGGTCTGGTCAATAGCCCCCCCTGCTGTATGCTGCTACAGTCTTCCCCCCCCCTCCGCTCCCCTCCCCTGAAGGGGGCCCTCCTCATCTTCCACTGGCCCCGTCGTCTCCTCCCTCCAGCTCCATCGATCCCGACATCCACAGTCACGGACGGAGCGTGAAAGTGGAAGGGTGGGATCCAGAGCCCCCCCCCCCCCCTTCCCCGTCCGTCCCCTGACTGGTTGGATACACGAAAAATCCCGGGTTTCGAGGTTGCCAGGTGCCAGGTGCTAGGCAGGGATACATGTCTACACGTACATGGTATGCCCACGCGGAGGTCCCTGTCCATCGCGAGGTGAGATTTTGCCTCATTCGCCTTGCCATTTAAACTTCAAAGTCCTTGCGAGTCTGCTAGGGCCATGGGCTCTGCTGTCTCCTATCACGACTGACCGACGACCCGGCTACGACGTTGCAGGGGTCACAATAAGGGGGGGCGGAGTGGGAGGTCTGATCAGGACTGGGTTTGTTGTGGAATGAAGAGTGCATCTGGGCTGTTCGCAGGGTCATCGGAGAGAGAGAGAGAGAGAGAGAGAGGGCCAGACGCGCTGGACTGTTGCTGCTGCTGCCGCTTGCGGCGTCGATGAAGCCACGTTCCCGAGGACGTCGCCGTTCGTGTCTGTCCGTCTTCTGTCTGGCCACTGGGCCTCTCAGGGTCCAAGACGTCTTGGTCTTGGCAGTCGGCGATGGGAGAGAGACAAGTGGGCTGAGTCGACGTCAGCGTGGCAGCTGGGCCGTTTACTGGTGGTGCGATCAGAGACGAAGCAGGGCGCCGCTCGGGAGGAGTTGCTCGCTTTGTGATGCCCCACAGAGATCGGATCTTGGGCTAAGCGGGCCTGTCGAAGGAGTTGCGACGGTCTCGCGGGCGCGCAAGCTGGTGAGACACTGAATAGACTTTGATCGACCCTGTTCTGTTAGCCGTGGCATGAGAAAATTGCCGAAGCGTGTTCAAAGCAAAAGCAGCGGCTCGGGGTCTTCGAGCGTCAGGGTTGAAGGAAGGGAAGGACCGAGGACCAGACAAGGTTATTTGTGAAAGACGCTATGCATGGGAACTTGTCTGGAGCTGGGGGCCGAGGCATGTTACGCGCAGCTTCCTTCTTCGGTGGTTTGTGTGTCATGACCATGTTGCTTCGACGATTCGATCCGGTCGCCTGTATGGTGGCCATGTTACTTTGACCACCTGATCCGGCCGCCGGTAGGCCCAAGATGCAAACACCACGACGCTCGCCAGTTGCAAAGACGACAGGGCGCCGAGGGACTGGCGGCGCACACCAACGAGGCAGGCAGCCATTTGCAGAAAGGCTCCGGAAAGGGGACCATCCAGATCTAGGTCATTCGACAGCTCAAGCGTGGTTGATGACTCCAGGTAATGTCGCAGACGGCCATGCCAAGAAATCTTCAGCAAAGTCTGGTGGTGGTCTGGCCCTGGCGACATTGATTGTTGTAATTTTGTGGAGAAGGGGAGGGGGCCTTGTCTTTTGCTTGGATCATGGTCCTCTGCAGGCCTTGGGCAAGAGGTGCGTGGCAACTCGATCCAGAGTGCCGGGTTCGGCGCGGTCAGTGGTCTGCTTGGTTTGCTTGGTTTGCTTGGTTTGCATGGCCCGTCACACTCCATGTCTTACTTGAGGCGGGCCATGATTGGGACGCGATGCGACTCGCGTGAGTAGCGAGGCGGAGGCCCTCGAGGCTAGGTGCTAGGTGCTAGGTGAGGTGCTCGGTGCACAGGCTTTCCCGTTTGATCCAGAGCCGCCCAACGTAGCCTTCCTCGCCTTGGACAACTCCCTGCGGTAAGGTAGCTTGGGTAGGTAGGTAGGTACCTGGGTGGTTAGGGAGGCAACAGCCAAGGAGACGGCCTCATGCATCTATCCGGGTGCCCCCGCTTCCACCTTCGCTAGTGAGCGCCGCAGGCCAAAGAACCTGCCTGTTCTGCCTCAAGCTCCCTTCACTTCCCGCATGGGATCAATCAACCGTCGGTCGGGCCACTCCACAACAAAGTCCCTGCTGGTTGATGGGTTGATGAGCAGCAGCAGCACTAACCTTCTCTCCCCCCTTGCTCCCCTGGCAATACTCATGATGGATGAACATCTTATCTCCTCCCTGTCGGTTCACAGACAGACAGACTTGCTTCTCATGCAGAGGTGGCAAGCAAGCCTGCAACGATAGAACGCCTCAATATCGGCTAACTCTTCTAGAACGCCTTCTGCTCCATGGTCGCGCGTCTGGACCTTCATGTACACGTCCCGATGCACCTCTCATCTTGTCCTCATCTCCAGTCTGCTCCCAGATGGGGCAAGCCTGATTGAGGGTGGTACCAGCGCCGCCTCGACTGCACGGATAGGCCTGACTCGATCCGCCCCGACGCGTCACTTTATTACCCCATGGCAAGGCGCGCCCCAAAGCAAAGCCAGGCTCGACAGACGCCAGTGGGCAGACCAGAGAAGAGCACCAGAGACGAGCATTCTGACTTTGTTGCAACGCAACGGCGTCGCCATGGCGCCGCCCGCGGAGAGATCGAATCCTTCCATCGACCACCCGAGCATTGACTGCCGTTGACCCCCATCAACTCCCCATGCATATCATCCTGCCGCCAAGGCGTGCCTGCCATCCGCGTTTTCCATGGAGCCCCTCTGTCCGTCCCAGCCTTGTTCGACCACGGCCTGGTTTTCTCCTCTTCGCCGTGGCAAAAAAGGAGGTCAGGCAAGAAAATCGTGCCCGGCCGCTCGAGCATGACAGGATCGCCATGAATAAAACTGACCGAACCCGATTTGCAATGTGCTGGCCAACGTCACGCCTAGGACGGCTATGCCCCCCCTTCCCTCAGACAGATAGATCATGGGCCCCCGGCGGCATTGGGTTGAGCATATTCTACGCCGCCCCTGAGCAGGCCACGCCGCCCATCTTTCTCCTGCTCTGATCTGTTCCCGACCTTCATCATAGTCGTACGGTATTACAGGGCGCCATGCAAATTAGCACGACAAATGGGTACGCGGCTGCGCTAGGTTGTGGCCCGGCCGTTGTCCCTGCCATGTCGCCGAGCTCCCCACGGTCGTCATCTCAATGGAACCCGCCTGCAACTTGTCATTGGGGGCCAAAGCCCCGAAGTGCACAGTAATAAGCACCCCGGACCAGTTCGGCGGCGGAGCTAGGTACAGATCAGGCGTCCCCCTGTGCTGGTCATGCCTGGACTGGTGCTGGTCAGCATCTGACTTTTAGGGGGGGCTGCGGATCTGCCGACGATGGACACCCATGTGCCCCGGCTGCGCTGGCGCCGCTGCTAGTGTGCACCCCCCCCTGGCCCCTCACCCTGGCCTCCGAGTTTACCTTGGTCGAATGCCCACGCGCTCCCGGATTTCAAGTCGGCACCTCGTCGCCTGTGCACCCTATCCTCACTGACTGGCTTCAGACACTTGAGGACAGCTCGCCGAGGAGGAAAGCGACCTGACGCAATAGTCCACGCGGCGCGCCTTCTGCTTCTCTCAATCGCTACCTGAAGTATCGATTGTCGCCGTGGCAGCTTCGTTCGCCTGCCATACACTCATTTCATCTTTTCAGCTTGGCTGCGGCGGCGCGTGAATCTGACTGCCATTCGAACCTCCGAACCATATTGACACGACTTGCTTCTACCCAACTGGTCGACACATCGATTCCAGGTCTTCTTTTGACGCCGTTTGCCTGTCCCTTTCGAGCCGACGACAGTGACGGCAGCCGGTCAGCATGAGGCTCGCTGCCGCGGTGCTGCTCTTCCTGCCACTGGCTGTATTGCCAGGTCCTGCCTCGGCGACGAGAGCTGGTAAGATTCCTCCCTGAGAACCCTCTCTCAACCTCCCACTAAGAAAACTCTCAGCCGATCCAGTGGCATTGGTGCGGCGTGGCTTCCATGGGTGGAATGCGACGACAACATCAGTCGCTTCAAATCCTACGCCAGCTCAGATAGACACTGGCTCGAGCAAAGTTGCTACTTCACATGTACCGTTGGGCCTCATTTCGTCACAGGCCGCAAGTTCCTTCGTCACCGAGGCGAAGTCGGCTCACGATAGTTCGTCCACGCAATCTCATGGCTCTGTGGGTCAACCGGAGGACCCGGTGTCGCCTGCCCAGATTCGCACTCTTGCGATGCCTCCCGAGCAATCACACGATGCTCTTACGAAACCGTTGCCACCTGGACAGCCGTACCCGCGTCCGCTGTCGAGCTTTCGACCCAAGTACTTGAACACAACTACGAGACTCGAGCAATCTGCGCCATCGCCCACCGTCGATAACTCAGCAGATGGCTCTTTCAAGATTGCCATCACCTCGGCGCCTTTCTCTGCTGGTCCTCTCTCGCTCGCCCCAGAACCCTCCGGATCCTCAGAACAGTCAGCCTCGCCTAGACGCCGTCCCCGGCCCCCGGTCTATCCGCCACTCAACCTGACTAGTACGACAACGAACCTGGTGAATAGCAGCGATGGGCAGTCTTCCACTGAGACAGCAGATGACTGTTCCACGCCTGCCAGTGGTTCCAAACCGACGACGTACCTCATCGTCTTTACAGCAACGACAACGTTCTTCGGCGACCCCGCCGACTATGTGCCTGCCTTCCCTCCCATCGAAACGCCTGTTGCATGCGTATCACCAACGCAGACGCCGCTTCACCCTGATGAGGTAGGGGAACCCGGTTTCGGGGAAGAAGCCCCCGGTTTTGGGGAAAACGAAAACGAAGAGCCAATGCTTACAACGTTTTGCTTCACCTCTCTGGATTGGGTAGCCTGTGCGACCGACATTGTCCATCCTCCTGGGGCCGTTTCCGTTCCAGGCCACAAGGAGCCTGGTACTGTCACTTTCATCACCACGGACAAGAATCCCGCCGTTGTGTTTAGCCCGATGACCACGCCCAACTATGGAAAAGACACGAAGAATCCGCATGCCGCAGACCATCACCCTGCCGATGGTACAAGGCCCCAGAGACCTCACCCGGCTAATCCAGACGGACCGAAAGATCTCCCTCACATTGACAAGCAGCCTGCTGCTATCACTTTCCCAGTCACCTTGGAGCCAACAAGAGTGATCATAGGCGACCAGACCATCTCTTTACTGCCTACTCAGACAACGACAGTGACAGTGAGCGGCGAACCCTTCGAGATCAACCCTACTCAAGTTATCGGGGGCGGCAGCACTATCGAAAGGCCGTGGAACGGGGGAGACGGCAGTGGGTTCTGGATCGGCCCAGGCGGGAACGCCGGTTCTGAGGCAGTTCGAAGTGGTGGGCCGCCCGGGAACACCGGAGGCCACGGACCAGTCGGTGGGCCATTGCCTCCTGCGACTACGACCGTTGGTAATGTCCCTGTCGTAGTCGGGCCGCCAGGCTCCACGCCTGTGGTGATTATCGGCGAGATGACTATCTCCGTTCCGCCCCGCGGGACGACAGTGACTGCTGTGGTTCAAGGTACGACGGTCACGGTCGACCAGACTGCGATTCGTTTCCCGAGTGCAACGGTCCCCATTCATGCAGCGACTGCGCAGGCTGTTGAAACGGAGCATGTGGTTGTCGGCGGCCAGATGATCACTGCCATAGGCTCGACGGTGGTGGTCATCCATGAGACAACCATCACCTATGGGCCGGGGATAGCAGTTCGAACGGAAGAAGTTGATGGTGGGACTGTCACCATAGGGCCTAATGGCGTCGTGGTCGACGAGCAGACGATCGGCGGCCCCAACGCTGGACCGAAGCAGACGGCCTACGAGATCGTCGGCGGTGTGACCATTACACAAGTCGGCGCTTCGATCGTGGTGATCGAAGACTCGACGTGGACCATTGGACCCAATGCCCACACTACCTACACGACGGAGATCAGGGGCGAGACGATCATCATCTCTCCCGAGGGCGTCACGGTCGAATCGCTGAGCTTCACCTATCCATTTGGGCCGACGGTCGTCACATCGATCAAAGCTACTCCAACCGCGACGCTCACGGACCCCTCAGCCTCGCAGACACAGAGAAGCACGGACAACGGGGCTTCAGACGGTGGGACTGCTAATGGCGACGATGATGATGAGGGTGGTGGACTAGGTTCGCATGAGGCGCTCGGCGGAGCGTTGTACAACTTGATATTTTGCATGCTGTTTGGCGTTTGGATCATCTTAGGGTACGTGCTCTGAGGCCCAGGCATGTATAGACATGGCGAAAGTGTTTTTTCTTTTTCTTTTTGGGGGGGGGGTTTTGGTATTCGGGGGCATCGGAGCCCTCGGCCACAACGGCCTGGAAAAGCTCACCGGCGAGATGAGAGGGGCTTTGGCTGGACTCTGCCAGCTGAATTACGACTAATGACTCGAGGTATTCAAAATGGGAGGGCGTTGGCTGCGCAAGGCGGCGCCCATAATGTACGAGAAGCAACACGGGCACGGCTGTCATCTGCTGTATGCGCTCAGCAGATGAGGAGGTGCAACAAAGACAACATGGAAACCATGAAGGCGGCTCAAGCTGCGCACTTAACATAATAATGTAACATCTACCCCAATCGATGCGGTCATCATGAGCCTGTTTCTGTCTTGTCGATGATGAATGGTCCATATAGAAAACCCCTTTATGCGTCCCGGGGTTTGCCTCTTTGCCATATTTTGCCATATCGTCACTGACGACCTCTTTCCCATGACAATCCCCCTAAGGCTATATTTGTTTGCCTGTGTCCTTGGTTGGGTGATGAAGATTTGTTGACAATCCTCTACGCAGCCATCTCTGCTTCGGTGCTCTACCAACCATGCCGATGGAGAACAACCACCTTTAGCAGGAGCGCCATCACGAACGGGCTGCTGACAAGGGCTGCGCAAGCTCATGGGATTTCATCCGCGTCATCAAAGGTCCACCTGTATGTAGCTCGTATTATACCTCTACCTATCCCACACTGTCGGCGTCTCCATCGACGGGATGCCAACGCGCGGGTCAACGATAGGAGAAGGGGGGCGGGGGCAGGGTTCGACACAGTTGACAGCGCACATGAGTGCTGATCCGTCATGTTCGAATAGCGGTGAGCGCGCCCTCGTTGAGACCAGCAACAGCCTCCTGCACTGGGAGTCTCAAGCCACAATCCATGCCTCTGGAAGGGTTAGGGGGGGGGGGGGGGCCCATGCGCATACGGGAAGGGCTGTCCAGGCAAAATACACTTAGTGAACTAGGCGTTGGCTTGAAGGGGAAGGGGGAAAAAGGCACCGCGGCGTGGAGAGCGCCACCGAGAACTACCGGGCGCCATGCTTTGACCTCTTCGCGGCGTCCCGGGAGCGTGACGTCGATCTCCTGTCCACAGCGCAGCCTACCACCGCCCCGCCCGTATTTTGAGGTGTGCAGTAGCGGTAGGGCCCGTTGGCTACCGAGCCGGTATTATGCGTGGTTGCTACATCTCGTATTTTGAAACACGGGCGCTGGGGAAGAGGGGGGGGGGATGCCTCTGGTGGTATGCAGGATTTGTGTGCCTTCTTGGCCTGGCTGATGGCGAAGGCGAGATGTGGTGACGAGTTTGCGATTGCGATTGTCTGGCTTTCGTCAGTCACAGCACAAGGACGAGGGTATGGCTCGTGGTCGTGGTCGTGGCACTGGAGAGGTGATGTTCGAGGATGAGTGAGACAAGGCTGGCTGGATTGCGAGGCTTGGCGGGGATGTTCGCGTTAGTGCGGGAACATGTCTGTGATGGGCGTCATTGCTACCGGCAACATTATTGGGGGTTCAAAATCTGTCATGGATCCGAACGGGAGGCAAAGACCTCGCAGTGGTGAGATTCATACAAGCGTGGCATCTCGTCTTTGCCCTGGCATGGGCAGACGGCCACGTACAAGACTGTCTTTGATAATTGCCTGTGTCTTACCAGCACTGTGCATTTGATATCACTGTCACATTGCCGGAAGGCGCGGAGAGAGCGAGGTCCGCAGTATAAGCCTTTAAGTTGTCAGCGATGGGACCAGACGTCTTGATTGACTGGGAGACTCGATTTCAACACACGATGTTCAATGACTATCAACCCAGCAGCGACACAATACATCACCCTAGGGAAAAAGAAATATATGACGAATATCCAAAGTAGAGTGAACCCGTCGACCAGTGCGATCCTTACCTTGTCTCGTGTTGAATTGCTCGTCCGTCGAAAGCACGAAACCATGTAGAAGGCATGTGGTATCGTGTGACAATAAAAGCAATTATGCGCCAATACTCGTCCAAAATCACATCACCAAAATTTGGGCAACCGGTGGCGCGAGCCAAAGTAAAGTTTCAAGTGCCCGAAAGCTACCTAACTATGTATCCAACGTGGATGTCGGGTGAAGGGAAGAACTTATTAACAGCTGGCTTCAGCCGGAAGAAACGAAAACACGGGACCGGCACACAGATGCAACGCATAGCAACACAACAGGGCACCTCACATTTTCCCCTTGCCCTTCCCCTTGACCTCCAGTGAAGGGAAATCCTCCTGCTGCTCGTAGATAGCGTCCGCATTCTCAGGGCCCCCGTATGTGCCCTGATCCTCCATGCTCAGCTTCAGGGCAAGTGCCAGGTCTTCTTCTTCTTGGGTCATCGGGGCTTGGCTGGACGACCCGCCGTTGGCGCCTGAATGCGCTGTGTAGCTTGCGGGGGGTGACCGGGAAGCAGACCGCTTGCCCTTCTTGGCCGACTTGGATTTGATGGTGATGGGCACCTCGTAGTCGTTGGAGTTGGTCCCGCGTGGCGAGTGGCCATGGTCGTTGACGCCCTCAAGGAGCGACAGGCGAAGAGCCTGCTGAACCTGCATCTCATACTCGCTTTCTTCGTCCACGGTTGGGGGAGGACTGAATCCGTTGGCAGGCAGGCCGTTCACACTGGGGTCTGGCGTGACCGTGGACGCCGTGCTCTCGCTGAATGACGAGGCAGTGTCAAAGCTGGCGTCGCCCGTGTCGCTAGCACTGGTACGGCGCTGCTCATCAGTGTGGAAGGACTCCTCAGAGATCATCTGCGCATATCGAACGGCCTCTTCCTCCGTCAGGTCACCCAACGCACCCACTCCAAAACGATTGCGAAGCCTCGCCTGCTCACGGCTGCGATGCTCTTGCTCGAGACGAAGCTCGGCCGTCTCGGCCGCAATGTAACCTGATACCTTGCCGCCCTGACGGCGCGTGGCGAGGCGGCCGTGGATGTCAGCGTGTCGAAGCCGGCGCTTACGACCCGGTGGTTGGCTTGTTGCGCTGTACGACCAGTATCGCAAGAAAGCGCCAAATGCTGTGACGCCGCGTAGAACCGTTGGGTCGGGGTCGAGGAAGATGGTCCGGGCGGCCGTGTAATTCTCGTTGGCCAGAGCGGGATTCATCGTCAGCATGTGCCTAGGCACACGCCCAGATGGCCTGGCGTTCAGAGTGCGCAGAGGATCTAGTGATGACGCGAGCGGATCCCAGGCCTGGACCAAGCCATCGCTGCCACCATGGACGAGGTACAAGCCGTTGAGGGCCAGGCAAGAGATCTCAGGAGATTCAGTCTGGATGATTCGGACCGGCTTCATATCCTTGACAAGTGGTCCAGTCTCGCGCATGTTCCAAAGTAGGACGACGCCGCTCTTGGTGCCGATGGCGAGCATGCGGGCGCTGCGTCCAGGGATCTCAGCCAGCGTCTCAGCTGTACGCGGCGTAACGCTGATTGGGGTACCTGCGTGGGATGTGCCCTTGACCGTTTCCCTCAGAGGGTCTTCGGCCGATGTTACAGCGGCGTGTAATGAAACATCAATGGCGGATGCCGTTATTTCGCTCTTGTTGTAGCCAGCAAGGCCGAAGACGGTGACGCCCCAGTCGCTCAGAAGGTTAGGTGCCGGAGTGACGGTGCCAGGAGGAGTCTGCAGAGGGGCGGCAACGGACGCTGGAACGACTGGTTCAGGCTCTGCTCTGTTCGCAGTGGCCCCCTTGGCTCCAAAGATGGACGCCGGCGCTGGTTCAGGTTGAGTCTCCATCTCAGCGTCTTTCAGCTCAGAGATGCGGATTTGCTGAGGCGTCTTAGGCAGCAGAGATCTCATGTATCTCGAAACCTTGGGACCTTGTCCCTTCTCCCACCCACATTCGATCACGATGACAGTTTCTCCGCCACCGTTCCCATCATCGTGGGCAAAATCGACCTCGAGCACACGCTTCATGTCCCAGCCTTCGCAAACTTTGCGAAAGTGCGACGGCTTGTGTCGAAGGAACTTCTCGATCTCACGTGCTTCGGCAGTGAGTTGCTCCTTGCTCAGCTCCATGGAGTCTGCAGGCGATCGAGGAGTGTAAGCGCCTCGAATGGCGTTTTTATCCGAGTCATCAGGGCGAGCACGGCGACGCGTCTGCTCAACGAGCTGCCAGTACACAGATCGCCCTGCGAGCCAGGCATTCTTGGTCACATCCTCGCCCTTGGCTCGGTCGAGGCTCGACGTAGGAGGCTCCGTGAGGAAGAAGACCTCGCCGAGGGCATTCAGAGCAACAGCCCACACGCGCCTGGTGTTTTTTCTCCTCTGGTTGTATTGATCATCAACCTTGATCGAGATGATTGGCACGCCGGGGCTTAGCACCCAGCGGGCAGTCATGTCGCCGTTGGAGAATCGGTGACCGGTGTTGTCCCCACCCAGGGCGTACGCAGTGACGACGCCCAGAGTCGAGCCTGTCAAGATGCCGACCATGGAGAGTGTCATGTACGGGACGGCGGATGACTTGGCGATCCAGAGACTCGAGATGGCCTCAGAGAGCTCTGGGATGCGGGGGATGTCAGGGTAGGTGTCGACCACGCCCGACTCGTGAGTAAGGTAACGACCGCGTTTCTCGTGAATGGGACGGTAATACGCACGGCCACCAGGGTGGCCTTCACCTGCGAGGAGGCCGTAAGGCACACTCACGTCCATGACGTTTGGTCCAGCGGCAGGCCCCTCGCCAACACCATAGGGTTCCAAGTCTGGAAATACCTCGTCGAGCTGCTGAGAGCTGAACGGCTCATCAAACCCCCACTTCTCAACTTTGCCAGAAGTTGGATCGCTCATAGTAGCAAAGCCTAGGTCCGCAGCGCCATGGACGGCACGCGGCGGCTTCTTGCCGTTTGAGAAAATGGCATGTAGGCTTGTCACAGCCCACGGTAACTTTGAGTTGTACGTCAAGACAGCGCTGATCTTCTTGGTCGAGCGCGCCGAGGTGCCGATGCCGCCGGATGCTCCAGGTTTACCCCTAATGAGACCCCTGAGTAGGCGAGTGCGCAGTAGGTATTCGCTCCTCCAAGTGGCCAGCGACGTCAGGCGGGCGAAATAACGAGCCTCTGATCGGACGAATTCTGTCGTCGCCTGTTCCCACGGCCCGGTGGCCTCTTTCTCAGGCTTGTCTGTCAAGCTCTCATGCCCAGGGAAGTAGCGCAAGAATGCCATCC